TTTTTTTTTTTTTTTTTTTTTTTTTTGTGTGTGGTCCGATGGACCACGGATCAGATTTTTTTTTTTTTTTTTTTTTCAGATATTAAATTGATCAGAACAGATACTACACTTGAGTATGTCAGATCTCAAGACTCATACATTCAAGGACTCAGACATCCCCATCGAGAAAGCAAAGACGCCCCTCGTACATTTCTTTCCACTTTATCAAACACATCGGCAGTGAAGAAAAAAAAAAAAAAAAAAAGATCCGCGCCGCGGAATTTCTGTTGCCTGGTTGACACGTGTCCATCACCTCTTCTCTTCAACCCTTTATAAACCGACCGGTCGGCGATTGGTGCGTGTGCCAATCATCACTGCTTCATCGGAAGATCCGGCTGAGTGGTCGATCTGTCCATCACCACTTGTTCCATCTGGCGCTCAGCAGCGGGTGACACGTGTCCATCACCATTTCTTCATCCAGAAAAATCATTGCGCTGTACCTTTGACACGTGTCCAGTCGATCATCGCTTCTTCTTCTTCTTCTTGAAAACTCTACAGCTCGTCAATTAGCAGGCGTCCTTCACGACTTCTTCATCCTGGGAATACTGCCTCTCGCCAGTGGACACGTGTCCATCATCATCATCATCATCATCATATCTTCATCCCAAAAAAAAAATCCTTCTGCATGCTGGTTGACACGTGGCTAGCATCCGAAAAATTCTTCATGCGTCACCATTACCCCACCCACCTTTTTGATCCCGAAATCCCTCCGCTCGCCGATTGACACGTGGCCAGGATCACTACTTTATCAGGAAATCCTGCTGCTCGTCAGATGATGACACGTGTGGAGGGCTCGCCACATTCATCCAGAAATCCGACGGGTCACCAATTGACACGTGTCCAATGTCCATCACCTGTACTCCATCCCCGTAAATCGAAATGCTATCTGATCTTTGGGTTATACCCCTCAAAAAGGAAGGATACAGAGAAGATTACCCCAACCCCTGACAGAGACGGTTAGCGCGACCACAAAACCCCTACGCAAAGCCACCGTCTTCACCAGAATATAACGCCCGATCTTTAAAGCCGTATTCGGGGCCATTTTCCGTCCAGATGCAGCGATAATGACCTGGCGTTCTATTCGGGTGAAGACGGCAGGACATCAGATTTGCAGGTCATAAAAGGCCGACCAAATTCCACGAGGGTGGTCGATCACGCGCCCGCCAGACTGATGTCTTCTCTCCGCAACCCCATCTTCCCTCTCGTTCGTGGCTCCTGGCCCATGTGGGAAGCCTGTAATTGGTCGGTGGGCCGCAGACAAGAAAGCCGCCTTCCTGAGCGGCGGCGGAGGAGAAGAAGAGGAAGAGGAGAGGAAAGGCGGCGGCGGCGGAGGAAGAGGAGGAGGAGGACGAGAGGGGTAGGAGGAGGAGATGGAGGAGGACCACGCTTGGCACAGCGGCGGAGGACGAGCGGGGCGGCGGCGGCGGCGGAGGAGAAGAAGAGGAAGAGGAGGAAAGGCGGCGGCGGCGGAGGAGGAGGAAAGGCGGCGGCGGCGGAGGAGGAGGAGAAGAAGAGGAAGAGGAGGGGGGAAGGCGGAGGCGGCGGCGGAGGAGGAGGACGAGCGGGGCAGGAGGAGGAGATGGACTCCGAGGAGGACCACGCTTGGCGACAGTCTGTTAAAGCACGCAGCCCAAACCACCTCCCTCTACTTGCTCGACATCTTCCGCCTCTTCGTCCCCAACRTTCTTCAGCCAACTCTCCTTCACTCCCCCTCTTCTGCCTCTTCTCTTCTCCAATACTCCTCAGCCAACAAGTAATAGGAACAAAACAAACAAAGAAATCTTCAAGTGCTAGTGGTGTCTGCTCTTATCAGCACCACGATTACAGGCGGGGGCCAGCCCATGTGGCTGGGTGGTAAACAGAGAAA